GCTGCCATCGGGATTATCTCTACAAGTAACAAGTAACTATATAATTCTGATAGCATCAACTCATTACACTTGTGCCAATTTGAAATACACCATGAAAATAGACGCTTGATTCATGTGCAATTAAAATTTATAAATTTGCTTTTTCTCCCGAGAAAGTATGATACATAATGGATTGCCAAAATAATGAGGAGGGGAAAGAAAGTATAAAGGATTAAAAACAATAGTATTCCCTGAATATTAGATTTTCTAAATGATCAAAAATCTTTTTATCATAGTTCAAAATGGCGATTAAAGCATTCTAGATTAATATTTTATTGATCAATCATCATTGTTTTATTGTAAAACAATTGGCACCATGCCACTTTAAATCTTCATTATGGCAACAATTATTTTAGCATGAAGTATTAAAATGGTATATCTTCTGAAATTGTAAGTTTACTTTGATAATTTTGACAATCCTATGCAATCAAAATGTCCATTCATTTGTTCTTCTTTTGAAATAGTTTACAATTTTGATGGAAAATTATTTCTTATATTGAATTGGCGTATGCTATTCCGCCACAAATATAGTTCTCCCATTTCATAATACCTTACCGGTACTTAAAGTGGTCGACTTTTCCTTCATTTTAATATCATTTCATTCCATTGGTGCTTAAAAGAACTTTAACCTCTATGCTTTGCAATCATGATTTCAATCTGACTTTTTAAATTTTGAAAGAATTTACCAACGAAAAAACATTTGTCTATTTGGTAGCTATTCAAAAATCATGCCTGTTTTTATATTTATAATCTTTTGTTTTAAATGAAATGCTGGGTTTTAGGATGACAAAATTAGGAATAAACTCTATCTCATTCATATATTTTAGTTTTATCAAGGATTAACTAATCTGCTAGGAAGGGGAAAAAATTATAATGCAACTCGATTTAGTGGACCAAATTTGCTTTTACATCGCTGCTTATTGTTTTGTTTTCATATTGCATCAAGATACACTCGATTACGTGAAGGAAATTGGTATCCAAAAATTTGATATCAGGATATCTCCTTAAGTTTGTTGTAGATTAAAACTATTCTTCTTTTGTTTTCAATTTTATCCCACCTTTAATAAGTTCAACTAACTTTTCAGAGACTTTTTAAAATTTATTTTCTAAACAAAAACTTCTAGCTGTTTTATTCACTTTTCATCTTCCATTTTTATGTACAATTCAAATCAGATTCTCAACTATACTTTTAAGATATATTTTTCATATTTTCAACGATGAGGGAAATATGTTCTGTTGTTTACCGTAGTCTAATGTATATATATTATTCAATAAGTGATGATGTTCATGATGATATACCAAGTGTCTTGTGTTAGGTTGTTAATTGTGAAACATTACTAAGATCTAGCCTTATATGTGGATGTCTCTTAATACTTCTTTCAGACGATCTTTCTCCTATTTAGAGAGCAATAATACTTTTAATTGTCACCAGTCTAGCCTATAAATCGTAGAGTTTGATTGTTGAAGAATATTGAGAGAAAACAATTGAAAAAATAGTAATGTAACCTAATATTCCAATAATTTTGTGTCTTTCCTTAAAAATTTGTTGCGATGGCGATTCTTATTGGGCGTTGGCTTTTTTGAAAATTTTAGAGATTAGTTGCTAATTGTAAAGATAACCTAGGGCAGATTAAATTTAAACTTTGGGGGGGGGGGAGAAGAAGGAGGGGGGGTGCTCTTTTTATGGTGCTCTTATATATGGTCCGGTAGCTTTTGCACCAGGTTTATTTCATCAAAGATAAAAGGTTTAGTGTTGGGTTGCTGTTGGGTTTTAGGTTAAGTTTTGGGTTTAGGTCAGGGCTGAGGTTAGCTTTAGGGTTTAAGTCAAGAATTAATTCAATATGTACATCTGACTGAGGAGCAATTGTCACCGGAGCAATCGTCGTGCAACCCAATTTATAACCATATATAGGGAGGGGGGGGGATTGGGCATTTTGTATTAGGTATGCATTTACCTCTGCTTCGTTTAGATCAATGTTTGCACTCTACACAAGACAGAGCACATTCATAAATCTAGATCTGTCAACAAAAAAAAAAAATAACAAATCATAACCTAAAACTCACAGTGCATCAAAATGAATATTGACACCCATTCCACATAATGGTGTTATTCTTCAATATTTGAAATTACCTTAAGACTTTCCACCATTAAACACCAATAATATTTGCTCTTTCTCTGTTTCCTAAATGTTCTCTATAAATATATATTTGTTTATTCCATAATTGTTGTACAAATTAGCAATTTGTAACAGTAAGGCGGTTAACACAGCTTGATAAGGCAGTTATACGCGTACCGGTAGATGATGAATGTGAGATTGATTTAGTATTCAGCTACTGTTTATTTGTTTCTTGAAGAGAGTTTAACAGAAAATTCTTTTGAATATTTTTATGATGGCTCTATAGATGTTCATCATGATATTTTGACAAATATTATTTTCAGAGCTTTTGTAGGATAATTGCAAGTTATCGATGTGCGCATCTTTGAGTTGTACATGTACATGCACAAAAAATATATTACTGCTCTGCAAAATGCTGCTTTATGCGCATAAATGTACTTATTTGAGTATACATGTATAAACATGTTTTAAAGCATCTTATTCACAAAGGAAAAGGCTTACAGGGATTGGTAACTCTCTCTCAAATGGGTGACTTTTACTACGTGTACATGAATTTGTCACAATTTGCTTCAAAATTCTTTGCAACACGATTCTGTATTCACTGCATTTTTTTTAATCTAGGGAAGAAAAAAATATTCTTGCGATTATTTTACTGAAGTTTTAGGAACAGCATTCACATAACCCCCAAGAATATTTTGAAATTTATTCAAAATTTGATATTAACTGATTTTATATTATTATGTATCAAAAACACTTTTTGTATAAGTATGAGTAAACAAAATACAGAATATAATAGTTTTAAACCTATTTTCTTTGAGAAACAAATTATTAATGGCTGAAAATCAGATAATTTGATTTGTAAAGATTGTATTTTCTAAGTAGATTTGTGTAATTTTGTGGTCAGACCATCATTAGTTTCTATTTTTTCCATCATAGATTTTGTAATGTCAATCATAAATTGAAATAACCGACTATCAGTCTTTATGTATTTGCTGGATGCAGCGAAACGAAACAAAGTTATATATTAAAATAAAGTATAATGAGTGTAAATCTCTAATTGACTGGAGTATGTTATTTACTCTCTGTTTACAATGTGTAAGATATCAGGGGCATTGATTTCATGTCATGGCATTACATTACATAAACGTGTACAGTCAAACCTGCTATAGTGACCACCTGTCTAGGAAGACCACATTTTTTGTTTCCTTGAAAAATGGTTTCTCATTGAAACAGGTATGGAACCTGTGCATAAAGACCAACTGCTTATAAAGAAGTGTTTTCTTGTCTCCCTTGGGTGGTCTTTATAGACAGGTTTTACTGTACGCATATTTACAAGACCATGCTATCAATCAAGAAACTCCATTACACAGGTTACCTGTTCAATAACCCAACCCCCCCCCCCCTTCCCCTTCCCCTCCACCCGCCAAATATTCATATTAACTCGGAGCCGGATAAACATACAAACAAAAAGTCAATAAACATCATTTACAGTCAATAATCAAAGTTCACATACAGTAAAAAAAAAAAAAAAAAATATATATATATATATAAAGAAAAAAGAAGAAGAAAAATTGTGAAAAGGTTGCTGCTCTCTCGTGTCTGGAGCCCCTAAAGCACAATTTCAGAATTTTGGAGCGATGGAACGATATCTCTGGTCTCTTCTGGTTTGGTAGTGGGAGCTCGGGTAAGGTAAGAATGAGATGCATGATTGTGGTGGTGACACAGGGATGAGTGTGTGGGACTGCGTGTGGCCGTGGACCAGAATGTGTATGCCGAGCGCCAGAAGGGTGTTGATGCATTAATGTTGATACATTAAAAATCCCACATTTTGCTATAGAGTGGTGAAGTGTGACGTCATCAAAAATCTATTTTTAGAATTTCTCAATTTTTTCTTCATATTCCGAAAGAACATCAAAAATAATGTCCAAATGTCGAAAACCAATTGAATATGTTAAGTATTGGCTGAGATATGACCATCTGAATGAATATATGTCCTATTGGAACTCAGTGTTATATCCTCTGGCTCCTAACCATTAGGAGCCAGAGCATATAACACTGGGTTCCTATGGGGAGTATATTTATTAAGACTGTCATATCTCAGCCAATACTTAACATATTCAATTGGTTTTCGACATTTGGACATTAATTTTTATGTTCTTTCGGAATATGAAGAAAAAAATGAGAAATTCTAAAAAATAGATTTATATGACGTCACAGCTTCGGTACTCCATTGAAGCTGCTTGAATATTGGAATTGCTCTTTCTGAAATGTCATGAGCTACTTTTGCCCTTCCCAAAAGTTTGAAATACAAAAACTCCCAAATTAATGGAATGAATCTGAGAAGAATTTAAAGTATTTGTTGTCATATAAGAATTGGTGGATGGTGGGATGTGTTTGGCTGTAAAAACCTCGGTATTCATGTTATTTGTTGCTGTCGTGGTTGTTGAGTGGGAATGGTAAGTGAAATATCTTCTTTCATTTTTAAAGTTGCCCAATCAGTTGTAATAGACGTTCAGTAATATTGTAAATTTGATGATATTGTATTGGTATCTTAAAATTGTATTTTGGCTCTTTTTGGATTTGCTAAATTGCTAACATTATATTTTCATTCAGAAATTTCAATTATGTACGTATATTTCATTTAAATAAATATTTCATTAGAGGCTTTTTCAAGTTCCTCGAAGCTAAACAGCTATTTGTTCCCATGTATACATTCATTTTGCATTCATGAATTTTGGCTTGTAAATAATCTGCTTTTAAATAAATATGTGCTTGAAACTGTGATTTACCAATCCTGTTAATCTTTGTACGAAATTCATGATTTTCCTTTCTTTTATTTTGTAGGTTCTCCTGCCCCGTCACCCACCAAATCCATACCAAGCTATAACAACGATTCCTCAGAAGTAGTCTCGTCACCAGTCACAAATAATCATGAAGACGAACCAGTCAAGAAAAAGGTAAGCTATTTAAAAATTACCAGTAGGCCTTGAGGAAGATTGTTGTGTAAGTGGAAACTAGTTATACAGTCTAGCGGTAAACAAATTATCTTGGTAAGTGATGGGTGCACTTTAACAATACACATTTTGGAGACTTGTAATTCCTTTGATCCTGTGCAGATGGAACTTGATAGGAAGACAATGATTGGAAAAGCAGAAGATTATGAATCTATTCGCAAATAGAATGCAGGCAAAGTTTTTTAGGTTGATTTTATACATTCTAGCTGTATAAAAATTGTCTTGTAAAGTGCTTGGTACACTTTAAAGGTAATACAAAGTTTTGGGAATTTAGAAAATCGGGTGGATAGTGATTCTTTACAATTTTGATATATTTGGATGTCCCTGTGGATGTATCATAAGAACTAGAAAATTGAGCACCTAAAACACTTCTGCTTTCGAGAAAAATTGAATATAAAAATTTACCGGTGCTTCCCGTAAATTTTGATTGTTTTTCAAATAGCACCTACAGCCGTACAATGGTAGCTGCGACCATGAAAATCTCAGAATTTGTACTTGTGATGTATAATATCCAAACGGGAATAGCTAATCGGTCGATTTTAATCAAGAAACATTGTTTTATAGCTTAATTAATATCTTGACCTTGAGAGGGAGCTATACAACATAAAGAGTTCATCATAAATAGTTTCATAACTTTAGACTCGACTTCAACCGCGACAACGATCACTGAATATTGTAGGATCGCATATGCTTCAAATTTGTTAATTTGAACCGAATTCATGACCCCATACCAAAATTTTGTATTACCTTTAACAACACATCATAGGAGACTTGGCATTCCTTTGAAGGAACTTAAAAGGAAGACAATGATAGGAAAAGTAGAAGATTATGAATAAGAAGCACATGTGAGTGAATCACTGTGGTTGTAGGTCATACCCCAGGTCACGCAGTAGGCAACGGTAGTCCGACTGAAAAGGAAGTGGTTTTTATAAGCTGATGAGGGTCGGATCATGTGATACCTTGTAAGACCTTCGTCGTTCAAGAGGGCTGAGAAGGGAAAGAGATAGAGAGAGGGAGAGAGAGATGGGGAAAAGGCGTTTGTCTTCTATTAGAATGTAAAGATGAAGGAAATGATTTATTAGTAGCATTCTCAATGTAGGTTCCATAAAGGTCCATATGAACGTATGTGTAATATTCCATGTAAAAAATCAAAAAATTAATCTTTTCTGTTTTGAAAGGATGTGTGTATGCAGGTATTAAGATCCTTTGTTTAGGTTGCTGCTTTGTATTGACATGAAAAGTCTGTTCTCATTATTAATAGATTCATCTCAAATGCCATGTTTTAGCAGATTTGCTCTGGAAAGAATAGCTATTGGTTTGGAATATGTATTTAAAACAAGAAAAGTAGAAGTAAAATTCAAAAATTAGATATTTAGACTACTATAAGAATTTTCATAATTTATCTGCTGTTCTGATGGCTTTTTTTAGTTTGAAGTATATAGTGACAATTTTATAATAAAACAATTTCATGCAAATGTGTGTATGGAACTTGTAAAACATTTTTCAGTTCTATTTATTAAATGTAAGCAATTATTCATATGTTGATTTACATGTTTTATTTTGGTTTTGTTTGCTTTTTGTAATTTCTACAGAGGCATCCTCCTGACAGGGCTTACTTCATCGCTAAAGAAATCTTGACAACGGAAAGGACATATCTCAAAGACCTGGAAGTAGTTGTAGTCGTAAGTATCAATCAACTTATCTGACAGGCTCCATTAAATGTTATCTCGTTTGTATTAAAGGTATATTATTTTTGAAATTGCTTACTCTATTGTTGGCAAAACTCAAAAATTGTATCATAAATTGTTTGCAGTCATGTTCATGCTGGCGTTGTGAATTTCTTATGTACATTACACTTGCTTTGTTTGTTAAATACCTTATCCATTATTTAATATTCAAATTTCTGTTACTTGTTGCAATCTTTCAAATGCTACAGGTATAATAAGAAGTATTGTTTGTTTCTGAAACTTTGGGGAGAAAATGACCTTTCAAGTGAGCTCGCAAAGGGCCGGCTGGCTGTAGTAGAAACAAAGGCTTTAATAACAGGGTTGTTGGCCTATGATACTTATGACTCTGTTTTGATTTTAACAAATCAAAATAAAGAAGAACATTTTAGTATCAGCAAAATGAAATCCTCCGTGCTGCATTGGGGAGGACTTTGACCAAAACAAAACTCAAGAGGAGGTTCTAGTTAAAGAAATTAGCCTGAATTTAGCCTGAGTAGATTGTATATCTTACAAGTGAGGCGTGATGACTCAGTGGTAGAGCAGTGGTCTCGTAACCGGGAGATCCCAGGTTCGAAACTAATTTGATGCGCTAATGCCCTTTGGTAGGGCATTTATCCTCTTTACCAAGTCCCTCAGAGAGGACTTACAGCCATCGGTCCCCTGGTTTCTTCCTTACAAGCATACATATGCTTTCTTTAATAGCAGTGGGGTAAAACAAACCAACCAACCTACTTTTTTTCTTACAGTGGTTCCGGAAAGCAACGACCAATGAGGCGAATCTTCCAGAGACACTGGACATTCTCTTCAGCCACCTAGATCCTATATATGAATTCCATTGTAAATTCCTCAAAGAAGTAGAACAGCGCCTTTCATCATGGTAGGAATGCCAATATGTAGTCCCAAGTAATGAATTCTGTGTTGGTTCTAAAATCTTTACCAATGTGTAATCCCAAGTATTGAATTCTCTGTTGGTTCTAAAATGTTTACCATTGTTATCAGCCGCAACTCTTAACTAAAGACACGTGAGTGAATCAGTTTGCGATTGATTGGAGAACTTGTGATCAGTCGTAACTCTTTATAAGACGTCGCTCTAGTGCTCGTAAAACTACTCGTTTCATTTCAGTATCATCTTGAAGTTACAGTCAAACCTGCTTAAGTGACCACCTGTCTACATACAAAGACCACATTTAGTGTTTTCCCTCGGAATTTTTTTTGTTGTTGACACATGTACTAAAGGAACATGTCTACAAAGACCACTTATTGTGTTTCCCCTTGGGCGGTCGCTATCGACTGTAGTGTATTCTGTACTCAATGTATTTCATCCTTTTGTCCACTCTAGGGAAGGCAGACCCAATGCCCAGGGCAAAGGCATGTTCCAGAGAGTAGGTGATATCCTGCTCAAGAACGCTCAGCATTTGAAGGTAAATACACCATACAATTCTCATTTCAACAGTTTTTAATTACATTATTGATATTATTTCTGATTTTTAAGCGGGATTGCACTACTTATAGCTACTTGCGCCCTCTATATAGCAAACAATGCCTAAGCGGTACCCGTTGGTCCCCCATGATCCCCTTTTTGCTTATGTTAATTGAGAGCTGATTTGATGAGATAACCACCTGTCAGTGACCACGCAGGGAGGTTTAATCCCTCCTGGCCAAACTAGTGCAGATAGGCTTTGACTAGAATTATATTTGCAATGTGAAAACCTTTTTGTAGCAAACTTGTGTAGTGCTGAGGACATCTTTGTAGCACACATTGCAGAAATAATAATGATGTCTCTGCATCATGCAATGCAACAGGCCAATGGTACAAAAACAACAGCCTTCACTATAGTTACATGTACCTGTATGCCACATTAAATACAAAAATACACTATGATTGAGAGGACAACCTCTAAAAAAGCTGAAAAATGAGAATTCACCAATATTGAGCCTACATTCATGTGAAGACTTATCGAAACAAAAAAATCACATGTACAAGTTGACCAAGTCATACAAATTTGTTTCATTCGAATTGATCAACCTATTCAATTGTTGGAATAAGTTTGTTCTATACTGTTTGATTTGATTTGATTTATTAACCAACAGCAATATATTTCATACAATGATTTTACATATACAAGGAGAGAAACTATTGGTTGGTAAAAGGGACCAGATAATAGCACATGTGCTAGTCAAGCCTAACCCCTTAAACAGCTAAACAAAGTATTTTGGTACAAATCAGTTTAGAAAATGTAACAAACAAAAAATAATGAATTTACTATTATAATCGATACTTTAGAAAACAAGAATACTCAACAATGCCTTACAATATACAAACTAATAATGTAAAATATACATTGTGTACATATGCAAATTATTTAACTTGATATTTCATTCATGACTTGTTCAACAAATGAGTTGTAACAGAATTCCGAAACCTATTTCTAGACCTTGTCAATCTGACATCAATGGGTAATCTATTCTAAAATTAACTTGAAATAAACTGTTTTACGTGCCTTAATTCTTGTGTGCAGCTCTACACGGGTTACATCGGCAAGCTCGAGGAGGTCCTCACCGATCTGGAGGCCACGCTAAGGAAAAACAAGAAGTTTGAGTCTTTCTATCGGGACTTTGAAATCCAGAAGGTCTGCTATCTGCCCTTCAACACATTCCTTCTCAAACCTGTCCAGAGGCTGCTACATTACAAACTGGTGCTAGAAAGTAAGCAAAAAACAAACTAACCTTTTTTTCTTAGTGGAATATTATATGTTTGAGAAGAGACTAATGTCGGGGAAAAGCAGATAATGACATTCTGTTTGAAGGGTGATCCAAGCCTTGTGATAAGTTTATTTGTATGAAAGCAGAAGAAAGAAAAAAAAACAGAACGACACAAGTTTTAAATAAATCAGACTAATAATAAGAAATTCATGAATGTTTGAAATATGAGATCACAATTAAGCCTAAGTGAATTTCAAATTGGCAGATTGAAAATTCTTACAGATAGATAGAAATTGTAGAAATAATGTACATTAATTCAAAGAAACTGTAGAATATGATACATAAATAAATGAATAGCAATGTGCCACCATCAAATGAGTACAATAATTCATTGTATTTGACATCAAAATTAATAAGGGTAGGTATGTCTATAGATTTAGCAGTTTATAATTAAATTGATAATAATAATGGATCTTTAATTCCAATTTTTAATTAATTGATAATTAATTTGATTTAAATGTTCTCCTTTTCTTCTTTAGGACTTGTAAAGCACTATCAACCGTCTCACCCCGACTACAAGGACTGCAAGGGTAAGTTCTCTATGAAGTTTCTAAATCCCCACGCATAGAATCTGAGCCCTGTTTCACCAAACCTGCTATCAATAACAAGTTACAGTAACTGTTATAAGCTACTGAAATCGTGGCATCTGATTGGCTGACAGCTAATTTGTCATAGAATTTTAGCATTTGTTATTGATAACACAAGTTTTATGAAACAGGATCCTGTTCACATAGACTATTCATGAGTCACTATATCTGCATTTTTAGAGTACTTTTAAACGTGCAATTTCTATTTTACAGAAGTAATATTTAAAGCAGATATTTGAACATAGTACATACATCGTAGGAACCAATACTTTCTGAGCACAATATTTTGGTGATTAGTCTAATTATTTAAAAAGATTTAAGCTTCAATGAAAAGTTTATTCTAAATGGTTTACTGATTGTCTCTTTGATTAATTTTTTTTTCAGCTGCCCTGGGGGATGTGGGAGACTTGACTGCTGACATCGAGGAAAGTGTAAAGAGGATTGAAAACTTCCAGAAGCTAACTGAATTACAGAGAGATCTGGTCGGCATGGATACACTCATACAACCAAACAGGGTAAGGAGGAGTAGAAAGGAGGATGGAGATGATGGTGGTGGTGGTAGTGATGATATGATGATAATGATGGTGGTGGTGGTAGTGGTGATGGGGATGATGATGATGATGATGATGATGATGATGATGATGATGATGATGATGATGATGATGATGATGATGATGATGATGATGATGATGATGATGATGATGATGATGATGATGATGATGATGATGATGGTGGTGGTGGTGGTGGTGGTGGTGGTGGTGATGATGATGATGATGATGATGATGATGATGATGATGATGATGATGATGATGATAGAGGTGATGGTGGTGGTAGTAATGATGGTGGTGGTGATGAATATGACATTGGTGATACTGCTGATGATGATAATGATGGTGATCATCATCTGATCATGAAGATTGAATAAGCTATGTTATTGATGTAAATTAATTCCTGGTAAAATTTTCTTCTTTTTCTTTATAGATGTGTGTTGTTCATTATTGTGATGATTCTGATTCTTGAATAATATATTAAAGATGATGGAATACTTATTAATCTTCAGATGAAATGATAATTAACAACAAATGAAATACATGTCACTCTCTTTCAACATAATCCCCAGTATAATAATTACAAAATTATACAACCATTCAATCTCTCTTGATCTCAACAGCATTTTATCCGAGAGGGTTGCCTTCACAAGCTGTCGCGCAAGGGTTACCAGCAGAGGATGTTTTTCCTCTTCTCCGACGTCTTGGTGTACACCAGCAAGGGGGTCACGCCTACCAACCAGTTCAAAGTTCACGGCCAAATCCCTCTCAAAGGGGTCGTGGTAAGTCATTCTTGAGCTTGTAGAAACATCCCATTGATCACACTCCTGGGGAGTGTTTCGCAAAGACTAAGATCGACTTTAAGTTTGACTTAACTATTGCAGGCCGTTCATGCCACTGTTTACATTCACTATTTACTGGCATTGGTCTCTCAAGGGATGTTAACATTTTTTGACAATTCATTATTGAAGAAAAAAATATGATCTAAAGATCATAATGGTGAGAGCAACCAGTAGCATGAATGGCCTGCCATAGTTAAGTCCAACTTAAAGTCGATCTTAGTCTTTGTGAAACACCCCCCAGATATACATTGTACATTGAAAACTGTACATGTATATAAAGAGCGCTCAAGGGAAACGTGAAAAGGGCTCTTCATGTACAGGTGCCTTTAGTACAGGTTTCAATGAGAAACTGTATCAAAGGGAAACAAAAATGTGGTCTTTATAGACACGTGGTCACTTAATCAGGTTTGACTGTACAATACTAATATTGCTTGTGATGTAGACGTAATAAGCTCCACTCAAGATTACATTTGTAGATTGAATTTTTATGCCTCCGTTACGAAGTAGCCGGAGGCATTATGTTTTCGGGTTGTCCGTCCGTCCGTCCGTCTGTACGTACGTACGTACGTACGTCCCGTTCTCGTGATCGCGTTATCTGAAGAACCGATTGATGGATTCCTGCCAAACTTTGGTCATGTATGTATCTTGCAGAGCCGATGAACTGATTAGATTTTGGGGTTACGAGGTCAAAGGTCAAAGGTCACAGGGCTCATTATGTATGCAAAAACAGCTCGTGATCACGTTATCTGAAGAACCGATTGATGAATTCCTGCCAAACTTTGGTCATGTATGTATCTTGCAGAGTCAAAGAACTGATTAGATTTTGGGGTCATGAGGTTAAAGGTCAAAGGTCACAGGGCTCATTATGTATGCAAAAACAGCTCGTGATCGCGTTATCTCAAGAACCGAGTGATGGATTGCTGCCAAACTTAGGTCATGTATGTTACTTGCAGAACCGATGAAGTGATTAGATTTTGGGGTCACGAGGTCAAAGGTCTAAGGCCACAGCGCACATTATGTATGCAAAAACAGCTTGTGATTGCGTTATCTCAAGAACCGATTGATCGATTGCTGCTAAACTTAGGTCATGTATGTTACTTGCAGAGCAGATGAACTGATTAGATTTTTGGTTCATAAGGTCAAAGGTCATGGGCTCATTATGTATGCAGAAATAGCTTGTGAACACATTCTCATTAGAACTGACAGATGGATTACTATTTAACTCAGGACATCTTGCAGAGCCAATGAACTGAGTAGATTTTAGGGTCATGAGGTCAAAGATCAAAGGGTCATATATGTATATGAGAAATTGCTTGTAATCACAATATTCTGAGAACCTGTTAATGGATTACAATTGAACTTGAATTCTAAAAATGTGTTCTGTTTTGGTTTGTAAAATTGCTCTATGACGGAGGCATCATTTTCGACTGCGCGCAGTCGAATTCCATCTAGTTTAAAATTATTTCAAGTACTGAATATTATGCTTGTTGCTCGTATTTCAGATGACTCGTTATCTTGATTGCTTTATATCATCGATTCATATAACTGCGAACATAAAGATGACATCTGAACTTTTAACTTCACATTTGTTATCCTTTATCTATTGTTATAAACCTGCATGAGAAAAAATGAGTTGTGGGAGATCCCTTTATTATACCATGAATAAGGGTGTGTACATTTTTTTTAAAATCCATTTTATAAATATCTTGAAATCTTTTTACCATTATTGTAATTGTTGATGATTACAATTAATTCTATTTTGTAAATCAATCTGTATACTTTACCAGTGAATAACAAATTTCTGGATGGATAATAAATGCTTAATTTAATGTTTCATTTTATTGTATTGCATTGTTTCAGCTCGAAGACAGTGAACTGGATCGCTCCGTTGCCAACTGCTTCACGTTGTACGGGGGTAACAAGACGGTCGTCATAGCAGCCAGTACACCCGAGGAGAAGATAAGATGGATGCAGGTAAGACAGACAAAATACAAAGGAAAAAAAGATATAGTTAACAACTAAATTAGTCATACCCCTTGTAAATATGATGTTTTTGTGTTTTCCGCAACTCAAGAATGAAATGTGGACTGGTTGAAATAGATAGGGCCTTTGTTGAATACTTTTAGATTTAAGCTTTGATATGTCACATTTTCAAGAAACATAAATGAGGACAAATCAATTTTCAGATACTTAAAAAATTACAAAACTTGGTAAGAGTATTGATAATTTAGGTGTTAATTGTAGATACTTTTAAGAATTTTTGAAAATTCAATTAGCTCTGCTTATAAGAGAGGTACCATATATATTGGGAGATTTGAGTTGTTTGACCGGTAGGTTCCCTTGGTCAGCTCTCTGTCTTTGCCTAAACTGACTCAAACGGACCCCGGTTCGAGACTGAGAAGTATATGATCGGTCCATCACATTCTACTTGTACCCTAATTGTCGTAGGAAAGAGAGCAAGTAGATTTAGGGTGCTTTTTCAAACCAGAATGTCTTTGTGCTGTAATCCATGGCCCCGTCTTATAAAGGATTGAAATGAATCTCAACTATGAACATAAGAGAAAGGAGACTGGAAACTTGCGCTTGATTGGAGGACTTACGTTTGATTTCGATCAATGTCAAAAATATTTCCTTCAGATGAAATTTAATGTGATTTTCTCAACAACAACAAAATTAACTCGTTTTTTTTTCCTTCCATTTACAGGATATTCAGCTGGCTATGAGCATGTGCCAAGACGACGAAGTAACAGATACATTAAGTGAGTATAGCTTGCTGCATGTACCATTATTTTTGCGTTGTAGGGTTTTATTGTCACAAAGTTTGCAAAACTCTCTCAAATATAAAGGAAAAAAACATGAAAATGAGCCCACAATGCATGTGTGAACATTTATTATAGTCTGTGTTTCCATGGTAAGTTTAACATGAACATCAGTGAGTCTAGAAATTTGAAATGTATTCTTCTGAGTAGTTGATTTTTTCAATTATCCAACCATAATGGTGAAAAACAATACAAAAGGGAATATATTGAAACCTGTAGTATACCTCTAAAAAAGTTGTATTTGAAATCAATATTTTGAATATAGTGACTTGTAACCACTAACACACAGAGCAAAACATTTTATGGCAATTGGTACCCTTTAGAGAAGAAATACATAATATTCTTGGTCCATTTGCAAACTGGTCAATCTCTGAACTTGTTCTTGTCGTAGGTTCACCGGACCAAGACTCAGCATATGACGATGCAGAAGATGAAGTATCATCCCCATCCAAGTCCATTGATCGTCAGTCACACCATCGGGCCAACACGACGGTCCATGTATGCTGGCATCGCAATACCAGCGTTAGTATGGCGGACCATGTACAGGCAGTCGAGGTGAGACATATTCTTTTTCTTTTCTTTTCTTTTTAAGAGAGATAGTTTCAAATTGAGAATAGGTTTATTGAAAGTTGTGAGGTTCTATAAGACAGTTAACCTCTTGAATACTATGCCCAGGGACCCGTTTCACAAAGCCTTTTTTCAATGACAAATGACATAAATCAGTGACAAATCTGCTGATAACCAATCAAAGATTTCACTAGCTTATAACAATTGGAATTTGTCACTGATGACAAGTTTTGTGAAATGGGGCCCAAATGTAGTTGGTTGGTTGGTTGGTTGGTTTGTTTTACCCAACTGCTAAGAAAGCAACCGGGGCACTGACAGCTTTAAGTCCTCTCCAAGGGACTTAGTAATGAGGATTGATGCCTTATTACCGAAGGGAACTAGCGCATCAAATTGGTTTTGAACCCAGGACCTCCCGGTTACGAGACCACTGCTCTACCACTAAGCCATTGGGCCTCACTATTTATAGAAAATCTTTATTGTATTAAAATGATATTTTAAGTAACAGATGAAGACGGACGAAAAAAAAATCACATTAAATTAGAAACGGCGTCAACTATGCAAGAAAACAAACACTGAGTAAAATCATGCTTTTAAATAACATGAATTTTCCTGATTCATACCAGTTTCATGCTTCATTTCCTTTTTGTATTGGTGAATAGTGTACATGATCATACTTAAGGCTTAAGGCTAATATTCATCTTGATTTTCTTTTTTTTTAATATCTCCTTTAAAGAATCAGCTGAGTGGATTTTTGCTGCGTAAGTTCAAGAACAGCAACGGATGGCAGAAGCTCTGGGTGGTCTTCACAAACTTCTGTCTCTTCTTCTACAAGAGCCATCAGGTAAGTCTATGGATGTTGTAGAGTGAAACCTGTTTATATAGACCGCACAAGAGAGACAAGAAAAGTGGTCTTTCTAAACAGGTGGTCACCAATGCCTCAGTCACACCTTTGCGTATTTGGCTTGCGTATTGCTGTGTATTTATGGCAAGCTGTTTTAACATTTATTCCTATTTCTTGATATCAAGAAATGGGAATAAATGTTAAAGGGAAAGTCCACCCTGAAATTAAGTTAGTTTTAATAGGAGTAGAAAAATGAGAGAAACAAGTCAGTGAAAGTTTGAGCAAATTCCGATTAAAAATAAGGAAGTTATGATTTTTGAAGTTGTGATCAATCAAACACAAATTGGCAACTCTATGACGTATCATGCGAGCTCAACTTCCATTTGCTCAGTACTAAAAAAATCTAAAATTTTCATTTTCCCTCAAGAAAAATTTCAACCATACATGCACCCTAAATATAATAATTGCAAATATGTTTCTATACTCCCCCTGCAAGGAACAAATATATATTCCGTCATCAATAACGAAGAAAACATGATTTTATGGAATATTATGCACAAAGCAAATGAAGGAGAGCTCGTATAATAGGTCACAGAGTTGCCGATTTGTATTTGATTGATCACAACTTCAATAATTCATAACTTTCTTATTTTCATTCAGAATTTGCTCAAACTTTCACTCACCTGATTTTCTTATTATTCTGCCTCTATCGAAACAAACTTATTTTGGGGGTGGACTTTCCCTTTAAGACGGCTTGCCATAAATACACAGCAATACGCAAGCCAATTACGCAAAGGTGTGACTGAGGCATAAAGCAGGTTTGACTGTATATTGCAGTCTGAGAGAGAGATTCATATTGACTTATTGGGTGTTGGGTTAATTGTATAGAAGTTAAAATCTCTGGCACAGCACCATAGTAGTAGTAGTAGTAATGTCGTTTTACCGGGTGTTATTTTTTTGTTTTGTTATTCTTGTTATTGTCATTTTCACCATCATCTTCATCATCATTTTTTGTATTGATAATTAAATTTTCAGTAATTATTCATATTTTCATGACCCCATTTTATGATGACTACCCGTTGGCTAGCCTTCCCCTCCTGGCGTATCATTTGTGTTATTAATCCTACCGGTATTTATAATTTTATATCCATCATCATTAATTTGTTTTTCTTGTCCTTTCTAGGATGACTACCCGTTGGCTAGCCTACCCCTTCTGGGCTACTCCGTCATGATCCCAGTGGAAGAGGATGATATCCGTAAAGACTATGTCTTCAAGCTTCAGTTCAAGACACACGTCTACTTCTTCAGGGCAGAGAGCGAGTACACATTCAGCAGGTAAGCAGCCTGTAGTGGGTTTTTTTTTTTAAGTTGTCACCTAAAGAATAAAAAGTGTTTTGAATTGATGCAAATTTCATTTCATTGTGAAGTGGAAACCTGATTAAATACAACAAGGCAGTAATCATCTCTCAAAAATGTTAATTTTGAGATCCAGATTTTCTACCTTCAGCAGTCCTCCCTAGAGCGTCAAGATTCGTGACGTCACATGCGAAACACAGCTAGCCACACAATTACATTTTATACCTTTTCATGATATCTATACGATTTTTCAGCAGATTATTCATGTTTTTCAAGAGAAAATCTTTACATCCATATATAATTTGTCCATAATTATCAGTTGTTGTGAATTTTCTTTGGGTGACTACTTTAAAAGTAATACAAAGTTTTGGTATGGGTTCATGAATTTGGTTCAAGTGAACATATTGGAAGCATATACGATCCTACGATATTCAGTGATCGTTGTCGCGGTCGAAATCGACTCTTAAGTTATGAAATTGTAAATAATAAACACTTTGTGTTGAATAGCTCCCTCTCAAGGTCAAGATATTAATTAAGCTATAAAACAATGTTTATTGACTAAAATTGACTGAGTAGCTATACTCGTTCGGAAATTATATACCACAACTACATACTCTGAGATTTTCACGGTCGCAGCTACCATTGTTCGGCCGTAGGAGCTATTTGAAATTTATCAAAATTTACCGGGAGCACCGGTAAATCTTTATATTCAATTTTTCTCAAAAGCAGAAGTGTTTTAGGGGCTAAAATTTCTAGTGTTTTTAATACATCCACAGGGGCATCCAAATATATTAAAATTGTAAAGAATCACTATCCACCCATTTTTCAAAATTTCCCAAAACTTTGTAATACCTTTAAGCACAAAGGTTACCTAAGCCCCCCTCTGTGAGCCAAGTTTTTGAACCATTCTTTTAATAGAACTTATGTGTTTGTCGATTTGTACGGTAGTTAAAATGCTTATTTCATTTTTTAAATGGGTCTAAATGCAGTCTTCGAGAATAAACTTCACAATCACAAAAATGTGTATCACAAAGATGTGTAGAAAGTTTACCAGTTTTGTATGCAGGCACACTAAGCATGGGGCATACACTCTACTCTTTGTGAGAAGTGTAGCGTCTTAGCGTACATAGGGTGTGGCTCTCCTAACCGTGGGCCCTCCAGTTAATGTTCTGTTTGAGGAAGAGAGTGTTTTCCCCTGAATCATAGCCTGCATTGAGAATAGAGGGGAGGGGCAGCGACAATCATTTTTGTATATTTGTCTGCTCAGCCCAGGACTCAAACCCACGTGTATGACGAAAGTCATGAGAGCTACATGTAGATGACGTCCCGATGGTGCCACACTCCCTCCTAGTCACCAATCAGTGACTTATCATTATTCAATAATGTAATATCCTTAGCGTACATCATTCAATTGACCTTTGACCTTTGTTCTCGTAAAGAGTATTCTGATTATTCCTTCTTTTTCATTGTTTAATCTTTCCATTTACAGGTGGATGGAAGTCCTAAAGAGTGCCACATACTGCAGTAAGATGGACAATGATGTCATGTAACGGGTCACCACTGAAGCAACGCGCAAACTGCCTGTAGAGGACATCCCCAAAGACATTCTCTCCTTAAACACCATCCTACATGTATTTCTTCCCGTGACCTGGGAAACTTGCAAGGAGTAAAGAGAGAGAGAGCAAAGAGAAATACACTCTGCTTTCGACTTCTCCTCAACAAATGCCCATGGAAATATCTTAGGGATAACAAAAATGGTCCATTCGTAGAAGAAAACATTGCCAAAGTTGTTGCTGACTCGTTTCTTTCTTACGTAAGCACTGTCGTAAACAGATTTCCATGTGTGCTTTTGTAAGAGACAGCTGATATTTCCTTTTCAGAGGTGTATAGAGACAAACTGAAAAAATAATTTGGGTGGTTTGTGAAAGAAAGCGATGATGATCAAATCTTTTTTTGTTGATGTTTTTGTTGCGGTTGAGAGACTAGATTTATTATGCAAAATACACCAAACGACTTTAAATATCGCCAGATCGGGCATCGTGTGTTTGTGTATATCATATCATCTTTTTAACAACAAAAATTGGAAGAGTATTGTGTCAAACCACTTATTATATGAATGTAAAAAGGAAAGTTTTATACAATTTTCTGACGTCTTACTTTTCAATTATGCTATTATGTTTTTTACAAAAGGACCACTGCCAAGAGGGCCATGTTGGAAAGTTTTTGTTTTTTTAAACCTTTTTGTACATCCCTCGCTTTTTTGTAGATCAACAAGTGTAGATGTATATGTATGTATTCTTGGTATAAAGAATTATTAGCTCACTCCCTGGTTATTTTGAGAAGCATTACCAAGATATAGTCCGCTGGAAGCCAGATGGGCGTTAACTCGAAGACAACACAAAGTTAAAGCCCTTCTTGCTTTCAACAGACATGATTAGGGCGATTTTTGAACGTTTGTGTAGACTTGGAAAACGATCGCCTTGAGAAGTATAAACACAGTAGTTAGCGAAACCTTGAAAATTTCCCCTTGAAAGTTCTTCGGGCTCGACTTAAGCAACATAGCTCAAAATTGCGATATGACAAATTGGCAATGGATGGTTTAAATCGGCACAACATGATCAGTCTCTGAAGAGGATTAGATCATGAGGCTTTGAAAAGTTTTCTCCAAGAGGTTTTACACGATCCAGTTTCATCATGCTTTTCATAATAGAAGAACCAATGGAGAAAATATCGTATGGTATCCTCGAAAACAAAATAACAATTTGAACCTTAATTATATTAGAGATTGAGCATGTAGAAAACAAGGCTTAATAAAACAAACCTTTTTGTAATCATTGCTGATACCTCACTGCTTATAATTTGCTTTCAGACTTATATTAGGTCTGCGTTTTCGATACTTATTTCTTTTTTATGCTAAATGATATATGCGAAATATTGCGATAACCTTTGAACAAAAAGTTATTTTCTTTTTCAGACATTGTATATTAAAATTGTATCCGAGCATTCGTAAATGTATGTATACTGTACCTATACTAACATGTAACTTTCTCTATGAATTATGTAGAGATGTATTTGTCTTAGTATTATGCTATTTTTGAATTAATTTATTATTTAATTTGTAGTCTTTAGAATGCATATATCTTTTTAATCTTGTCGTGTAGCCCTTGAACCGTGACGCAACGATGCGTTCTGGTGTTTTTCGTACGGCGACGATTCAAATGCCACGTTTCTAATCTTTCTCGCCGACTATGTACAGCTTGGCATGTACAGTGTATGTGAGCGAAAGTGAGTGAGCATATTGTACAGATATGTATTTGTGTACATTTGTATATTGAAACCTGCCTTTAAAACGATTGATAATGTATTCGGAAGTCGATGCAACCTTTGTATGAGGTAACGTTGTTCAACTCATTTTAACCTTGCTACCACTTTATAATCATCCTTCTTTTGGGTATGATTTCTCCCACCCTCTATTTACAAGAAACCTAAAATGCCAAAAGATCAATGTTTGCCAATTTTCATGAAAGGTCACATTACAATGAATCTCTCTATTCGAAAGAAATACTAAGTTATCTTTGACCGGTAAAATTGGCACAGATCTGGGATGCATCATAATTGTAGAGGAAGAACTTCAGTTAGTTTGCCAAGCGTACACAAAGCTAAGTGTAGATTTCTGCATGTCTTGAATATTGTATCTGTAATTATTTCTCCTTGCTTGAAGCTGTTGTCGTAAAAATAGAATGTTACGATTCAGTTTGCCAGCCATTTTGTCAAGTCTTCATAAGTTTGCTGTCGGTAAACGATACGTCTTCTTTTCACTATATTTGCTTGTGGCTTTTTTTGCTGCGTGTTTCCAGCCGTAGTGCTTTATGCAATACCATACCAATGAATAAAACGTACCTGATCAAACACGAGGAAAAAAATGAAAGTCGATGATGACAACGAGAGGCGGACAGAGGAATTAAAGGTCTTCCATTTTGCGGCTAAGAGTAAAACCAAATAACCTTAGAATTCTAGGATCTTTGAATGAAAAAAAAAGTAGCTCCATGAAAAGGAGAGTTGTAGTCGATGAGTTTATGTGTGCAGAGTCTGCAGACGTTTGTTCCCTTGTTTATTCTCGATATAAAAATGTAGCAGGGTTTGTTTTTCTAGATGGTTGAATGTTGTCAGGGTTAAGACTGTAAATCTTTGAAGGATTTTAGTAAGAGTACTCCTCTCCCAACTCCCTTTGGAATGCTGTGAATAGATAGGTGATCATCAAAATGTGAATTTGTCTCTCTTAATATACAAGAGTTTGTAGAATGAATCCCAAGGTTATGTATGTGCAGTTAAAAGGAATCAAATATTGGTTAAGATCATTTGATGAATTATAAACATGCCCCTACCAATCAAACAAATTTGGTTGCAAACTCTATTTCAAGATGTCATCATAGAGTGAATATTATATGCCACTTTAGCTGTTAGAGTTTGTTTGTTAACTCCAAAACATTTGCATTACCAGTAATACAGTATATGTATTTCCAAGATGATTATTAATGGTTACAGCATTTAGGTCAAAGAGATGGATGACCTGTGATAAAGTACATTTAAATTTAAATACTTGGTAGTTTTTCAATCATGCAGAGGATAAATTTCTTAGAATGTATTCATATTCTAAATTTTTAAGAGAAATCTTACAAACATATGTCACTAAATGTGATATAAGAGTTGTGAGTAGGAATGAGATGAAGAAAATGTATACTCTAGTGATGTTTGGATAATACTTGAATGATCAAAAGAGTATTTACTGGCTTGTGAGCGAGGCGAAATTATGTTATGTTTGAAGCCATTTCTGTATTTATTATGAATGAAGTAATTGAGAGAACAGCTGCCGATCAAAGAAAACAAAGAGAGCTTGGTCAGCAGCTCAGAAGGACTTAAGTCTAAGGAATTTATTGTCCCTATCATCGGATGAAATGTAGAAAATGGCTGCTTTTCACGTTTGATATTAATTGTCAAAAAAGACAAAATAATGGAGTCCCACCTTCTTAACGCATTACTTCATTGTCCCGTATGAGTATGAAGGAATTGTACTTAAAAAAATTGAAAATTGCGATATAATGCAACAAACATGGTTGCAACTACTTTATACAAAATATTTGAGGCAATTACAATGTCCTTGTATGTCCCCTTTTGAGTCAGTTTTCAGAAGTTTGCGATTGTGTTAACGTCAAAATCTTGGAAAACTCTCTCGGGCAGGTACCGAGAAATCTACTGGTGAATTAAAAGTTGATGTAGTGAAACAGGAATGCAGACATCACTTCTAGAAATGCATCCAAAAATGCTCCAAGTTCCAGACTCCCAAATTGAGATGATGTATTTTGTCATCATATTTTTTGCTTGGATCTTTGTAGCTTGTCGTCTTTCAATTTAGGTTTTCAGAGCTTCTGTGCACATCGGTTAGGACTCGTTGGCGAATCGAAGACTTGTATTCTTATTCTTATTTGGGGAGGGTTGGGTTGGAATGAAATTAAGAAAGGATGTTGTAAGTTTGGAGCTGGAAGGACATTAACGCTGCTACTATTACACAGCGTTAATCCCCTCCTGGCCCTGAACAGACAATATCTGAGTAAGTTTTTCATCAGAGAAGTAGGAGTAGAGGTGGCTGTATTTGAAGATGATGTAATACTTTATCCAATTAGGATGTGTTAGTAGAGTGGATAGAGGAAGATATTTTTTGTACCCCGATATATACTTGAATTATGGCTATTGCAAATTACAAAAAAAAGTTGTCCATGTTTGAAGGATAAGAACACTCCTGGTAGAGTGTAACGTACTTAAATATAACTAATCAAAAAGTAATATAACAATTAAAGCACAATTCTCTAATGCATCAATCACGAAATGAGTAATTTGGGGGTGATTGTATCGTTTTATTGGATTTAAATTCTCGCGAGGAAACGGGTTGCGGCGATTGGATTCAAACTCTTCAGATGATATTTTTGTAAATAGATTTTATTTTCACCATGTCTTTGGTGTGTGTGTCGCGAGAAGGAACGATTAAAATGCTATTGGCATGTGCATGTAATTAGGAAAATATTGGCTGCATTTATTTAAGGGAGGAATGCAAAATTGAGAAGAAAAAAAATGAGCTCATCCATTGTGCTTTGCTAATTGATAGTGAACTTCGACAGTTATAAGTATTTATTGTGAAGCTTGAAGGTGTCTTGTAACTTTTCAGTTTACAAGAATATGCCACCCATTACGGTTGATTCAATAAGTATCTCATTCAAACAATTTAGTTTCTTAATTTATTCTGTGAAACTGTCCTATTAAGTAATTTTGTAAGTCTCAAGTTATTGTGCTGCCATCTGAGTGAGCATTGTACAAGTCCGTGAAACACAAGAAAATTGTATTTGCATTTACAGATTCTGTGTATCCCCTCCTTTGTGTTTGTCCTATTACTTTCATTTCTGTTTAATCATAGCTGGGAGGGGATTTTGTAATTGTTTTTTTAATATTCGTAGGATGGACAACGTTCTGTAACACTTTGAGAATGTAGTATAATGCCTTGCCAATTCAGATTCATCTTGTACAGTTTGTTCTTATACTCTTTCATAAATAACTTGTTTTAATAAATGACGATAAGTGACTGGATGGAAGATGTAGAGACGAAACACAGCATGGTTTTATGAATTTACAAAGAAGAAAACCTTTGAAGCTGTGACGAATGTCTGACTATTATTATGCATTGTATAGTTTCCAGTCTATTTGCACGTGTATGGCCAGACGGTTAACGCTGGCGCATTGAATTATATACAATTGGTATGATACGATTTTACTGTAGAATAAATGACAAAAAAACCTGTAAGTTTCAAAATGAATCGCCCACATTTTGTGTTCTTTTTTTTGTTGTGTTTCTGCGAGAAGAATAAAGAGAAAACTCTGGGGGAATAGAGAAGGAACAAGATTGAGAAGAAAGAGAGGAATATATGTCAGAAAGAGAACTATTCTACGGAGAGAAATGAGAAATAGAAATCAATTCCAATAAGAAAAAGGAGAAAGAATCAGAAAGAGATATCCTAAGATATTCTAAAGAGAGAAATGAGAGAGAGAAAACTGATAAATAAACAAGAGTGGAAAAGAGAGATTATAATCACACTTCTTTGTTCTTTTATACTAGATTAACTTTTGTTGACAATAACACGCCAAGGAATGTAGATATCAAACTGTGAATATCACAATTTCGGATCAACAGACCCCGTGAATGGCGGTATATTTTCACGTTTTTATCACCTCTAATAAGCACAGGAGTCGTTGAAATAGTTTTATTGCCTTTTTAGAGTTTTGCTATTCCCATTTACTTGACGCCAACGTCTGTTTATTTTCCTTATCTCCGTATAGGAACACGTATATTGCAAACTGTAGTTTCTCTGTAGTAATTTGATTTATTTATTCTCCGAATTCACAATAAAAACATGATATATATATATATATATATATAGAACATTTACAACATAATATAAATAGACATTTAAAACAAACATAGAGAAAAGAAGAAGACAATAATTAAGTCGGAAGGAAACCCAGTTCAGTCAAGCCAAGATGATTGTTATAATATTAAATATTTATTGTGTAGTGAGGAACACGTGACTAAAAAAATATATGTATCCTAACTCCGATTAACAGCTTACATGAGATCAGGGACGAAGGCAAATTACCTTTTTGATAATACTTTAAGATTACATGGGAGTTTTAGATTAGCGGGGAGATTATTGAATTGAATAGCACATCTGTAACAGAACGTACTACGTTGACAATAATCTGTTCTGGGTTTTGCCAACAATAAGTTTCCATGAGACCTAAGCCACTAGCGAATAGTTGTATTGACAATATTGGAAGCAGAAGTTCATTTAAAGCCTTATAAATCATAGTATTTAGATGACAGTAACGGCTGATTGATAAAGATTTCCAGCCTAAGCGAGCATGTAATTCCCTGATTGACACAATGTAGGGGGCTTATTCCAAGTATGATTCGACATGCCCTGTTTTGAAGTTTCTGTAAAGAGTTGACAAATTTAGCAAAGGCTATTCCATATCACCATATAGTCAAAAATAGGAAGAATAATGGCATTATACACATTTTCATATTAGATAGATCAATATTATTACGCAATCGAGCTAAGAAGCGTATGAGATTACTTATCCTAGAACACATGTCATCAATATGCAAACTCCACTTTAAACTAGCTAGGATCTAACAACATACCAAGATACTTCGTAGATTGTACATGTCGTGTATTTATCCAATTTACATTCAAGTACAGCTTGCTACATTTAGTAAACATTATGTGTGAGGCAAATAGAAGTTTTCCTATTTCGTTTCAAATATTATGATTTAAAGCCGTGTTCAGCCTTTACTTGCTTTCAAACATTTGAATTATAAACTGGAGGTTTTCGATGAAAATGATTGGTAGGTTTTACTTTTATGAATTTGAATTTTAGTTGTTACCATTAGTTAACATTGTAGGCCTATTATAAGTCGTGGCTTCGATTTGGGGGCACAGGGCACCTCCCCAAGTTTATGACACATACAAAGAAATGAAGAAGAAGGAAAATGAGAAGAAGAAGAAGAAGAAGAAGGAGGAGAAGAAGAAGGAGGAGAAGAAGAAGGAGGGGGAGAAGAAGAAGGGGGGGGGGAGAAAAAAAGAAATGTGAAAAAAGGGTAATACGATCCCTCTCCAACACTGTATTTCCTCTATGCTATGTCACTTTGCATCCACCTGTAGCCCCTCCCACCGCCCCCTTTCCCCTCCCACACCATGATGGTAAGTGTCCCTTAATGGCCAGACCCTCACTACTGGGAATTTGGTTCAAAACTCTTTCAACGTTTCAAAATATACAACAACAAAAAAGTGTTAGCCTAGTGCGGTTTGTCAACAAAATTTTCTCAAGAATACCCCTCCCTAGTGGCGTATCTAATGCAAGGTGAACTCGGCGTACGACCCTCCCACGATTAAATAAAAGAGGAACAAAATTAACGCTACTCGTCTGCATGGTTCTACAGCACATGGAGCTGTACTTTGATACGCCTTCCAAATGGTCTGACAGCCCCCCCCCCCCACCCCTCCTGTTGATCAATTTTACGGAACGCCACCACCCCCTCCCCTGGAAAAAGATACACTGATGCTTCTGTCTAAATGTGTTCTTTCGAATAGTAATATGATAATAATAGCTTCAACTGCATGAACTCGATTTGGTTTCAACAACAGACCGACACCAGACCATCAACAGACCGACAGCAGACCGACAACAGAACGACAACAGACCGACAACAGACCAACAACAGACAGACAACAGACCGACAACAAACAGACAACAGACAGACAACAGACAGACAACAGACGGACAACCGACCAACAATAGAACGACAACAGACAGATAACAGACCGACAACAGACCGACAACAGACCAACAGCAGACCGACAACAGAACAACAACAGACAGACAACAGACCGACAAAAGACGGACAGCAGACCAACAATAGAACGACAACAGACCGACAACAGACCGACAACAGACAGACAACAGACCGACAACAGACCAACAATAGAATGACAACAGACAGACAACAGACCGACAACAGACAGACAACAGACCGACAATAGACAGACAACAGACCGACAGTAGACTGACAACAGACAGACAACAGACAGACAACAGACTGACAGTAGACTGACAACAGATAGACAACAGATCGACAGTAGACTGACAACAGATAGACAACAGACCGACAACAGACCGACAGTAGACTGACAACAGATAGACAACAGGCCGACAGTAGACTGACAACAGATAGACAACAGACCGACAACAGACCGACAGTAGACTGACAACAGATAGACAACAGACCGACACCAGACAGACAACAGACCGACAATAGACCGACAACAGACAGACAACAGACTGACAACAGACCGACAATAGACCGACAGCAGACAGACAACAGACCGACAATAGACCGACAACAGACAGACAACAGACAGACAACAGACAGACAATAGACCGACAACAGACAGACAACAGACAGACAATAGACCGACAACAGACCGACAATAGACCGACAATAGACCAACAGCAGACAGACAACAGACAGACAATAGACCGACAACAGACCGACAACAGACCGACAATAGACCGACACTGCAGACCGACAGCAGACCGACAAGAGACGGAAAACAGAGCGACAACAGACCGACAACAGACCGGACAATAGACCGACAACGGACCGACAACACACCGACAACAGACCGACACCAGAACGACAACAGACCAACAACAGACCAGCAACACACCGATAACACACCGACAGCACACCGACAACAGACCGAAAACAGACCGACACAACACCGACACCACACCGAACAAACAATTCCATTACCCCCAATGGCAAACAATCAGATGGTTTTGAAGGCAGTGTGGGGTCGGTTTGGCGGTGCGGCTGAGGTTTTACAGATGAAAGCTCAAACAAATTGCCGATCTGCAGACTCGCTTGACTTTGCAATTGTGAATTTCTTGGTCCCAGCTTCCAGGTAGTTTTGTCCTTGCACTGTGGTGATTTGTTTACACGCCAAACAAACGAATAGTAGAAACACTCTCAAAACTTGAAAGGACTTATTGTGGATATAATGACGGGAGAAAAATATCAACAGTAGAACACGAACAAAATTTAGTTCACGACTAGGCTATATAAAAGTGGTTCACGCTGTGCGTATGATTTATTAAGCAAAAGAAAGAAAACAATGCACAAATAACTTTGATCATAATTTGTTTTATTATCGTTTTCAATATTTGAATTGTGAAATCCGACCTTATAGTTATAGATCATAACTTGTTTCGCTATCGTTTCCTTTATCTTTGTTTGTATTAGTGAAATCTGACCGTAAACGGCATGTGCATTGGAACGTTTGCATTGTCATAGATCTCTATACGCACCCATTGATAATACAAAAGTTATTTGGGGTAGAAAACAAATATCGTCAGTCACACGTTGTTCGTTATATGAAATATATCATGCATTGCAGGCAGCGCTTGGGAAATCTTTAGTTCTCACAGAAGATAAATCATTTCTGTTGTTGAATTTGATTCGATGGTATTCATTTGTGTTGCAACGTTCGTTCTTCCATAATGGGTGCAAGTTGGAAAACTAAATTCATATAGCGTGTTGGAACAAGTTGGTGGATGTGAATTTATTCGGTATAAGGTATATGCCTCTTTTAGTTGTCAGTGACGCGAAATGTACAGACCGACGGAATAGAACAAGTTGGTGGATATGAATTTATTCGGTATAAGATATATGCCTGCTTATATACTTGTCAGTGACGCGAAATGTACATACCGACTCCGACAGTTAATAGTTGATCACTAATTTATAATTAATTAGCAAGAGCACCTCGCATTTGATGTTCTCTTATAGATCAAGATTGCTGGATCCTATTTTGTTTCAAGTGCGAGATTTGACGTAAGTGTTGACCAACTTCGTGGCAGACTTCTGCGCCACCAACTGCTCAACAGGGAGAAGAAGTATCATCATTTTTAGGATTGACAACGTCTTTTATAATATAGTGTTTCTTTAAAAGAAAACATTGATCGATGGACAGAAATGCACCCTGACTAAGTTTTGATACTGCATGGTTAATAACAGTGCAAACACCGATAACATCTAATCAAGTGTTCCGGTTGAGTCAAGTGTATATACCAAAGAGCATTCTACTTCAATGATGCCTGGTCTACGATAATAGTTATCTTCATAATCATCATGGCACCTCAGTCGGTAAGATGCAAATGTAGATATCAAAATTATGATATTATAATAATTATATCAAGGTAATGCTCTCTTCATGCATAGGAGTGTAAATGCAGTTCTCATAATAATAATAATAATAATATGTCTTGTTTACCCAGGGTAGCCTCATCAGTATTCATACTGTTCTCCCTGAGGGCCCTGCAATCATATAGAATCGTATACAAGGGATCACTACATTTAGTCTATACAAAGTTGGGCCACTCCAAATTAGAGGTTGATTTACTCTTTTTTGCGAGTGGATTCCACTAAATTGAACATGGATTTCACTCCAAACGAAGTGATTTGCTATTTATAACTCCCCAAAATGTTTGTTTTTGCACTCCTGTATATTGAGAGAGTAAACGGAAGTAGCAGGAGCATTCGTCAACTTTGTGACAACGTAGGCCTACTTGCTAAAAGTTATAATATTGTATATCTATAGTGGGAACGTTGTCTCACAAAGCCATCATTGATGTTATTTTAGTTCCACTTTTTCATTTCGTTTGAATTGTACATTGAAACATTTTTTAACACATAATCTTTCACCGGACCATTATCAAAAAGTCTCTGGAATATGAGAGAGGGCCGAACTCGTATGAAAGGAAATTAAGTCATGGTTATGTCATTTCAAGTATAGTAGCGATGCGATTCTGTTTGTTTATAATCATTCATCCCGTCTGCGTATAAATCATACTACTTTGATCAAATTACATCGCATTGATGAAGAATTAATCAAACTACAAATGAGGATACACATAATAAAAAAAAGTTTAGGTATTGGATCTTGTCATTGAAAATATAGTACTGATGCGATTCAGTATAGTCTGCAATCATTCAATCAACCCATCCAATTTCTTGCAAGAATCGTACTAATTTAATCAAATGACACCACTAAACAATATATCGCAAGTTTCCTGTGTTGTTGTAGGCCTATCCCACGCGGCTGTATACAGCGGAAGGTTTTACTAATACTACACAACACTTATCACGGTATCATATTTACGCTGTATGTATAAAATCTTTAGTCTATATTTACTTTTGATAACGAAACCAGTGCAATGGCTGATGTCATTACCTTTATTAATAATTTTTTCTTTGCTCTAAAGCTCTCAGGGTTCATCATTTGTAGTCTCACTGTCTGCCCGGTGTTCCGGAATTAAAGACTATTGTTATATTTGTTTGATTTTGCTTCCACGCGTTGTGCACTTTTAGAGTAAAGTGCAATTCACCGAAGCGCGGCTTGCAGGCGAATCATTATCTAAAAAAGCATTGGTATATTTCTTTTCAATTTCATTTAGTTTCCCTCTATTTATTCCTGTTTTGACATGAGCAGAAGCTAAGATCCTAGTTGTTATATTATCATATTTTTTTGTACGTGTTCTAATGTAAAAGCAAACAGCAAAAGTGCAATTCACCGAGACGCGGCTTGCAGGCGAATCATTATCTAAAAAAGCATTGGTATATTTCTTTTCAATTTCATTTAGTTTCCCTCCATTTATTCCTGTTTTTACACGAGCGTAAGCTTGGTTCTTAGTTTTTGTATTATTATTTGTCACGCGTTTTAATGTAAAAGCAAATAGAACAATGCGCAATTCACCGAAACGCGGCTAACAGGTGAATCATTATTAAAAAAATCATTAGTATATTTCTTTTCAATTTCATTTAGTTTCCCTCTATTTATTCCTGTTTTTACATGAGCGGAAGCTAAGATCCTAGTTGTTATATTATCATTTTTTTTTTGTACGTGTTCTAATGTAAAAGCAAACAGAAAATGCGCAATTCACCTAAACGCGGCATGCAGCTAGGCGTACCATTATCTAAAAAGGCATTGGTATATTTCTTTTCAATTTCATTTAGTTTCCCTCTATTTATTCCTGTTTGCACATGAGCGGAAGCAAATATCTTAGTTGTTCTATTATCATAGTTTGTGTGTACGTGTTCTAATGTAAAAGCAAACAGAAAAATGTGCAAATATATTTGGCACCCGAGAGTGGGGTATGATAATGTTAATGATGTAATTAATTTATATCATGTCAATATTGGAGTGTTGGAAGATTACATTTTCTTTGAAGAGAAACTATGAATCATGAGACATAAATTATTATACAGGGCCTACATCTGTTAATGATCTTTCGATTACGTGCTCTGAAAAAAAAAAGTACATTCATGCGGTTCATTTAATTTATCATTATAATAATATATTACGAAATTCTACTGGCTAGGCTGTTTACCTTCGCCTTGCCTCGTCTTATCTCCTCTTTTCCCTTCTTTTTTCTTCAACTTTCCGTTCTGCCCCCCCCCCACCCTCTCTCTCCCTTCTTGTTATTCTCTCTCCATTCGATGTAATTCTTATTTTTGTTCTTCTTTCTCTGTTTCTCTGTCTCTCTCTCCCCCTCTCTCTCTCTCACTCTCTATTTCTCTATATTCAATTAATATATTTATATACAATGTATCTCTCTCTCTCTCTCTCTCTCATTCTTATTCTTGCTACATTCCATGGATTGTTTTTTTTTTTTTAAATCATCACCCTATTTTACTTGTTTTCTTTGTTCTTAAATACCTTTCTTGCACAAATTTCGTAGCAAAGCTGAATAAATCATTTGTACTTTTGGTGCAGGACTTCTCTGTGTGGTTTGTGCTAACCGTTTGTACGCTGGTCATTGGGTCTTCAATGACAAGTGGATATCACTACGGAGTTATCACTGGGCCCTCACAGGTAAGGGGATTTTAAGGGAGGAAGGGTGGGAAAGGGGAATGAGGGAGGGAGGGAAGGGAGGGAAGGAGGGAGAAGGAAGATATATAGAGAGAGACAGAGAGAGAGACAGAGAGAGACATAGTAGACAGAGAAGAAAGAAAGACACATATACAGAGACAGAGACTGACAGACAGACATAGATAGAGAGACATACAGAGACAGATAAGAAAGAAAGACACAGAGACCGACAAACATACAGAGATAGAGAGGGAGAGACAGAAAGATCAATACAAAGATGAACATTTAGGCAGACGGATACAGATGCATAATAAAAAAAAAAGGGTCGGAAATAGTGTGAACAAAATCGTAGGAAGACGGAAGAATTATGAAGATGATGATGGTGGTGGTGGTGATGGTGGTGGTGGTGGTGGTGATGGTGGTGGTGGTGATGATTATGATGGTGGTGGTGATGGAGATGGGATGATTATGATGGGATGATGGTGGTGGTGGTGTTGATGATGATGGTCGTGATGAGGAGGATGACGATGGTGGTGGTGATGATGATGATGATGATGGTGGTGGTGGTGGTGCCGGTGGTGATGATGACGATGACGATGATCATGGTGTTGGTGGTGCGATGGGGACGATGATGATGAAAATAAAGAAGAAATTGATGAAAGGAAAATAGAACTAAAATTACAATAGAACTATTCAAGGACGAAAAATCAGAGCCTAGTTTACTATTGGCTTTGTGTCATTATTTACATTTGCCAACAGATACTTTCCTTGACAAATTCATTTATGTTTATTTTCCGATGGGGTGATACACCGCATGCGTTTTCTTTTTGTTGTTGTTTTCTTGACCATTTTTATTGACCAATCCTTGTTATTTCCTTGACCAGTTTGTGAAGGAGTTTTACAACCAGACCAACGTATATCGCTATGGCTCACCATTAGATGAATACGGGGAGGTTTGGCTGTGGGCTGCGACTATCACGGTGTTCTGCGTCGGCAGAGTTGTGGGTGCCTTCGTTGGGGCAAAGTGGTCAAAGAAATTCGGCAGGTGAGTCTGATCTAGTTTGGATGGGTGCGGCCTTTATGTAGGCCTACGATCCCCTGTGGAAGGCCTAGTAAATTTTATACTACTTGCAGTGCCACGCAGGGAGCACAGGTACATCCAATCTGAATGGATTTTGCCCTCCTCCCACCTCCCCCCCCCCCCCTGCCCCTCTACCACATTTATACAGTCCTGACACGCCATTTTCTATTTTGATCTGAACAGAAGATATATTATGTCACTGCCGATTACGAAGTAATTGTCATAATTACCATAATAATCATAATCATACAGTATTAGCCTAAGTTAATAAAGAAACAAATGCCTATAGATACAATGCACCATTATCTTGATAAAACGATAATATTTGTATTTTAAAGAAGTTTGATATCAGCGGTATGGTCAACAATGAATGAATTGTCATTTGAAATGACTGGATTTTATACTTTGATTGTTATATTGTTACTCTCTAAAAAAAAAATCGAGTGATCACGGACGTCACTCCTCTGGAGAGTGAAAATGTAGGGAAAATAGAGTGAACATTCACTCTTTTCTTCTTAGAGAGCACTCGAAAATCAATCGATTTTCACTTCTAAACAAGTGATCACGGACGTCACTCCCAAGAAAGTGAAAATAGAGTGAAAATTCACTCTTTTTTTAAAGAGAGTATGTTGTTGATTCTAAAGTGAGGATAATCGTAAAATTAATCGAAGGTATAACAGAATGCAATAATTTTCCACATGAAAAGAGTTTAACCTGAAGAATGCAACCTATTTATAAATTGTGATATATTTCTGATTAAATTATATTTGATTGGCGTCTAAAATCTTTTCTTTGTCGAATTCGGGTGATTGGCAAGGCCCGGTAACCAATGTAGACATATTTTTTTTTACCTTTTTCACAGGAGTCGAACTTTGATTGGTAATAATGTGATATCAATTGTGACATGTCTCTTGATGGGAAGCAGCCAAGCCGTTGGATCTCCTGAAATTCTCATACTTGGTCGGGCAGTGAAAGGCTTCGATGTTGGTGAGCAAAGCAAAACATTTTTACCGAATAGACCATTTTCGTAAAGACCATATTCGAACTGAAAAATAAAATAAATAAATCATATATCAACGGAAAGCTTATAAGCCATAGATTACAATAATGTCAATGTTGTTATATGCCACTTTAGCGTCTGTCAGAGGAGTATCACTATCAGCTCTCTGAAAACTCAAAATTTAAAGCTTTGAAAAATCGAAGTTGTCGACCTAAAAACTTGCATTAATTAAGCACGGCTCGTCGTCTCAGCTATTAAGGTGAAAATAAGACGCGAACCGATCGGGTCCACATGTTATGTCGTCACTGTAACTTCGGCAAATTTGACCTCTGTTGACCCGTAATTTGGAGGGGTGCGGAAATGAGGTTTTAATTTGCTTTTGTGCAATGGTGAAAGGGTTAATGCTTTGTATTCCTTTATGTTTGTATTCTTCATTCATTCAGTTTTCCATTTATATCAAGTTGCATTTTCATCGGATAGGGTCTTTAGTGTAATAAAATTGAATGCAGAAATCTTTTTTTAATGCGATGTTACAATTATTTCATTCACCTGTTACAAATAATTGTATTTCAATAGTCAGAATGCGAATTGCATACATTAATTGCTGCTAGGTAGGACAAATGTATGTGTGTGTAATTGGGTTTTTACAGACGTGAATCAATCAGATATGATTATCTACGTCTGGGGACCGACCTTTAACGTCACCATCCGAAAGACGTGACTCAGTTTCGAACCTGCGTCCTTGGCTGAATCAGTTTGTTATATTAATTTTAGCTGGATTACAGGCGCACGCCACAACAACTCATCAGAATAAATTTTGCCTTTTTCGGGTTATATACACAGGTGTATCCTTGACTGTTGTTCCCGTGTATCTCAACGACATCAGTCCTAAAAGAAGACAGAGCTCCATTTGTCAACTACATCATGTTTTATTTACGGTCGGCATTCTCATCGGGCAGGTATATATATTTCAATTTCAATTTCAATTTATTTATGTTTCCAACAAAACATTACAAATCAATTGTAAACATTTACAAAAAATACATTCCGGAAACAGAGGGGTCCACTAAAAAATAATGCTTGTACAAGTGTGAACACCTCAAATGATACTATAAAAATATCAAATAATTATAAGTGATTACATTAACAAGTCCGTAATTACAAAATAAACTACAAAATAGTGGGAAAAGGGGGATGCCAAAAGAGACGAGAATGGGATGAGACAGTACTTTACATGACAAAGATAGAAGAATACGGTCATAATACAAAGAAGGGGGAGATGCAAATGAATGGACAAGGGTGTATACCCCCAAAAATATTTAAAAAGGAAGCAAAAACGTCAAAAATGAGGCGTAAAAAAGATAGTTAATGCGAAAACCTGGCTCACGACTTAAAGCAAGCCAATCAACAGTATAGGCGTATTTATATTAGATTCTCTTTCGTTTAAAGTGATCTTTGCTCTTTATTGGACCATCTCAATTCTCACCATAAAATTCAATAAGAATCATAACTTATCAATATTTTGAACACCATCATCGCAACCAACATTATCTTTGGTATTTCTAAGAAATAGTACTACACTTGACTTCTTAAAAAAAACATCTGAAAACATACCTCTTTAATTCCTCTTAATGTATTGATTTACTGAGGGTCAATGCCTTCAATCCTGGAAAGTGTGATATATAAATCGAGTTATCATTTTCATCATTATTGTTATCATCATCACCACCCCCATCACCTACATCATCATCATCACCACCATTACCACCACCACAACCACAAACGCCACTGTCACCATCACCAACACCATCGCCAACACCATCACCACCACCACTACCATCACCACTACCACCATCATCATTGCTACCATTACCACCACCACCATCATCATCATCACCACCACCATTACCATCACCACCGTCATCATCATGACCACCATTTCCACTACCACCACCATCACCATCATCATCATCATCATCACCACCATTAGCACCCATCATCACCATCATCATCATCACCACCACTATTACCACCGCCACCATCACCACCACCATCATCATCACCACCAGTCCACCACCACCACCATCATCATCACCACCAGTCCACCACCACCACCATCATCATCACCACCACCACCCCACCACAATCACCACCATCACCAACATTACCACCACCAGCACCATCATCATCACCACCATTACAACCACCACCATCACCATCACCATCACCATCACCATCACCACCATCACCACTACCACCACCGTCACCATCATCACCACCACCACCATCATCACCACCACCACCCCACCACAATCACCACCATCACCACCATTACCACCACCATCACCATCACCACCACCACCATCACCTTCATCATCACCATCATCATCATACTCTTAATCATCTATTTAAAAAAAAAATTATCTTCGTGGTCGTCATTTTGGTCCACATGATGATCATCATCAACATCATCAAAGTCATGATCGTCATCATAATCCATTAAAAGATGAATTTGTTTGTTCATTATTTTGACCACAACAAAGACAAGGCCTATCGTGGAGAATAACTTCATATCTAAATGAGATAACTTTGAAGGAAAACAAAATCGTGTAATCGCAGTTTAATTTTAAAAGATGACTTCTGTTTCATTTTTCCTTCTCACTTTCTCCTCCATGTCTCACGCATAGATAATGGGCTTCTTCGTTTTCCATGGCAACAAACGATGGCCTGGAGCCCTGGCGTTTCCCGCCCTCATCGATCTATTCCAGATAGTTCTCCTTCTCTTTTGTCCAGAGAGTCCTGTCTGGTTGATGCATACTAAATATGCAGAAGAGAAAGCGGCTGGAGGTAGGAGACTAATTTCTGACATATTTCTTGCGGGAAATTAGAATGGAAGAATAAATATGCAAAAGGCCAAACGCGGGAAATTCTTAATGTATTTCTATTACATCACTTTAATGGATAATACTAGCATTAACACAACAGGAGCAACATATACCATATTGCCCTCCAGTTTGCCCCAATTTCTGCTTTTATAAGCACAGCTATTATGAGAAACCCTGCTCCCTAATCTGCAATTAATGTTATGAAAGAAATAAAATGCTATATTACAAAAAGAATATCTTGACAAATTAACATTTTCGTCATCAACAGATTGTATTAATTACGCACTTGTATGATGCCAATCATGCGAAACCTTAACGAGTCATTGTTTCTTGCTCTTTATAATTTGTGAGACAATGAAAAATCAAGTAGTATGCGAAGTGCTAAGTAGGAAAAATGCAAGTGAAATTGTGCTAATCCCATTCTTCCACAAAAGAATCACTTTTAAAAAGAAGGCTGAGCTCTGGGAAGATGTGGAAATAATTTGTGAGCGTTATCATTGCTGTTATGCAAGTGTGGAAGAACATCAGATAAAAAATGTTCCCTGAAAAGCATGGCTCTTAAAATGGATTAATATTCTAAATATATATGTTACATCTTAAAATCGGGGCAGATTTTTATGCCACATGTTCGTGTAGTCCCATACACATCTTTCTCTGTACAGTGCTTGTAACTTTACCAAGACTGGGCCAAATTTCTTATCATTTTGATGATTCCAGAAGCTTGCAGTACACATCAATACTTATAGCCTATTGATGATCAACCTTTTCTTGTCGATTCCACACCGTTTCTTTCACAATGCAATCGCATGACCATAACTGGTCTTTATCTTTAAACTCATTTCCCATCCAATATCAGCTCTACGTCAGCTTCGTGGTGATGAGGAGGTCGAGCAGGAGACTCAAGGTCTCCGTGACGACCACCGCTCCGAGTCGAGGATCGTCCGGGCGAGCGTCTGGGAAGTGGTCTTCCTGAGAGACGCTAACTGGAAAATGCCGCTGCTCATGTGTATCTTACTGCAGGTGGGACGGCAGCTGTCCGGCGTCAACGCGGTAAGTCTAACCGCGGCCGTTGATATTCGGTAACGTTTTTTTTTGTGTGTGTGTGTGTGTGTTTTTTGTTGTTGTTGTAAGTTCTGTTTAGCGAAGATAGATTATGCAACGTCGCACATTTAATAATAATCAGGGATATTGTGTGCATGTTTGTTTCCTTTGTTTGTTTGTTTTTTGTTGTTGTTTTTTCTGCTTCAAGAAGCGCAGTAAAATCCCATGATTGGGCAGATGTTAGCATCATTCTGAATCTGAATAGAATGGGCCTGTTACTTCTTTGTTCTATTTAGGCGACAACTTTTCTATCAAACGCGAAAAATATCAACTGAACTGGAACCCGACGGTCAAAGTTTGTAAAACCGATTTGCAATATCGATAGCGATTGTGACGTACCGATGTTCATAACAATGTCGTCTGTATCTCTTTTTTTCCTATAGATTGTTTTCTACTCGACTGAGATATTTTTACTTGCTGGACTAACAGACAGACAAACTGCGTTAGCTTCTCTTGCATGGGGTGCTGTCTTCTGCACAGTAACTACTTTTGAGGTACAAACTCTTAATCCAGTATTCAAGTCTTTAAAATGCGAATCTCCCAGATCTTCTTAACCACTATTGATATTTTGTAATTATGAGTGTTATATGTTTACTAACCATAGCATGGCCCGCACTTAAATGCATTTCATGAATGTTCTTTTGTTATTATGGCCAAATGAAAATTATTCAATTATCTCGATGCATGTGACAATTATTCATAGCATGTAAATGATATTCACTTAATATGGAATTAAGTGCATGTTTCTTTTCAATTCAGCTGTGTTACGTTGTTATTTCGTTGCCATTTGTCATGAGTAGTGACATCTACTGTAGATAATGGTTTGCTAAATACAGTTTTATTGATTAATGATTATTTTATTAATTATACAGGAAATTTATTAAAAAATGGAAAGGACAAAAAGACAAGATCATTTTCTTTTTAAAGCTGGTAAGAAAAAAAATGTATCAGGATGGTACAGTCAACCTGCTTAAGTGACCGCCTGTCTACCAAGACCACATTTTTTGTTTCCCTTGAAATTGGTTTCTCATCGAAACATGTACTAAAGGAACCTGTCTACAAAGACCACCTGTCTACAATGACCAAGTTTTGTTTCCCTTGGGCGGCCGGGATAGACAAGAAAAGTTCAATTTTTCATTAATAAATAGAATGGAACGATTTATGATATGTTTACAACCTAATTGTTATCTTAACTCGATCGCAACTATTTTCGAGGGGAAACAAGTTTCAATGCTCTTGTGTATATAATAGAACTCATGTTCGCATTACGTAATACCTCTTTGTCATGTTCGCATATTTCAAAAGGTAACGCACAAGTAGTTGCTATCGTATATTGTTGTTGTTGTTGTTTCAGTACTTCGCCAATATATCAAGATTTCAACGGAAGCCTTTTCTTCTCTCAATGTACGGGCTACTAACGCTGAGTGCATCTGCTTTGACAGTGTTTCTTATTTTTGAGGTAACTAATTTTAAATATCAATTCTTTACTCTTTTTTTAATATTATAAACCAGTGATAGGTCCTATAAAAATGAATAAATATGCATAATTATGATGCATAGACATATAATAATTGCATACACATGTTATGACATGTATCCTCTGCCGCTCGTGACCGACACATGTTTGACCAAATAGGTCTACCTTATACCTCGCATTTTTTACAGTTTGACTCCCTTGCAACGTTTTGAAACAGGAAGATAATTCTTGGCAACGAGATGCCCGAATATCCTCATAAGCGTGAATCAAGGTGATTGAATAAATGAATTCTGTATTCATGCGTTCGGCAGAAAGGTGCCCACACACTTAATTGTTTATCTTGCAATGTATCTAGTGTTTTTTGATAACATTTGTACCATTTAAACAAAAATTGCTCTAAGAAACAGAAGTCTGATGTTGACGAGTGCCGGAATGATGCAAAATATATCTTCTGTGATAATTTGGGGATTCTGTATTCATGTGTTTGGCAGCAAGGTGCCCACATACTTAGTCGTTTATTTTACATGTATTTAGTGTATTTTGATAACATTTCTATCATATTTATTTAAAACAAAATTAAAAACAGAAATCTGATGTTGACGAGTGCCACAGTGATGCAAAACGATTATCTTCTGTGATAAATTTGGGATTGGGGTGACGAGAAATTTGTTATTCCTTAAAAGAGTGCCGTGACTAAAAACAAGGTCGAAAAACGCTGTTCTATCATAAATCATAATAGTTCGTTGTTTCAATCTTGTGAAATTCATATTGCACAGTGCAGACTATTATGTAAACATGTATACCATTGTATGCATCTTTTGTTTATCCTTACTTCTTGAGATGCATATAGAGACTGGCATACAACGACTTCCGTTGAATTCCTTTACCAGATTTCAAACTACATTTAATTTCTTTCTTTCCATTTCCAGCACCATGTCTCATGGCTATCATGGTTTGCCCTCATAGCTGTCTGTGTCTTTTTCATTGCATACGCACTAGGTCCAGGTAAGAACACTTCGGCAAGAGAAGAAAATATTCGTCAACTGGATCATGTTTCAAAAGAGTCGCTTTAAAAGAGGTGGCATCAATTAAAAAAAAATTAAATTGCTTTCGCTGCTTTTTGTGTTTTGTTTTTTGTGATCCTTTTAAATAGTTAAATAATCTAAGTTTTCTTTTAATCTATTAAGTGTTTTCGCTTTGGTTGTTCGAATTGTTGTTGGCCTATTATCAATATTATGGAAATGATCAAGAACAAAAACTAAGATATTCGTATATGTTTTGCTCAATAGTAATATAATTTTAAAGTTGTATTCTGAGCTCACAAATTAGGTTTCTAAATAAAAAGAAATTTGGCCCGTCATTCCGGAGACTCGTATTTCTAAGGGTTTGGTATCACGAATATTATATATAAAAATGAGGATCTTTCTACTGAAGTTATACTGAACAAAGAAGAGGGTACAATAACCCGAACAAAAAAGGTAGAAGATAATGATTTGCATTCATTTTCGTGCTAATAACCCAAACATCAGATGTATACGAAACTTCATGAAAACTAGCTGTTTTACCCCGTTTTCACTCTTTTATTTGTCTTTTATGTCGGTTGACGGTTGATTTTCACAGCAATATTCACCCCATTAGTCTGTTCTGAACTGTGGTCTGTTGGTCCTAGACAGGCCGCCCTCTCCGTTACACAACAGATAAACTGGTGGGTCGACGTCATCATCCAGTTCATCTTCCCCGTTCTTTTAGTGAGTACAATTTTTAGCTGTGACGATTAATTGATTTGCAATAATTTGACTCCTGGTTAGAAAAGAAAAACAAGATTCGTTGTTCGTCCGTTCATTAATTTTCTTGTTTTTACTTGTGATTATGTTTTTTTATGCCGATAGGTTTTTCATATGCGCCGAGAAATTGCATATAGATTATATTGACAAACTCGAATATACGGAGGGTAAACTATACATCTAACGAGGAAAGGTGCTAACATTATAAAGTGCTTCGCTTGCAATGTTATTGTTCTTTCTTTCCGCCGTTCAGTTTTTTCCTGTGTCTCTGTTAAAATCTCCACCCCTTCTCTCTCTCTCTCTCTCTCTCTCTCTCTCTCTCTCTCTTCATCCCTTTCTTTACCTCCTTAATTGTATTTAGCTGGCTTTAGGTTTGTCTCTGCCTAAATTCTAACCTGTCTCTAAGTTTAACTCTCTCAAACCAATTCCCCCCCCCCCCTTTTTTTTTAAACCATCAGTTGACGATCGGCGCCTACACTTTTTTCATTTTCGCTGGTTCCCTCGCAATCACCACCTTCATCATTCTCCTCTACATGCCTGAGACAAAGGATCGGCGGTTCGTCGAAATCTCGACGGGGTTCGAAGCCATCAAGGGGCCCGACGATGAGGAGGATCAAAGTTTTACAAAGTACCAGGAAGGGTACCGGCCTTTGCCGCTGACGAATCGATGAGCAAAAAGTGAGAAAGCCCATGCATGATAAGATATTCGGAAGTGCAATACAGCGTGACAGTGAATAGGCTGAATTATAAAACATTACTGAAGCCAATGATTAACGATTATGCTCGACACATCATTAATATCCAATCGCATTTTCTTAATAAAATGCTTACTATGCTCAAAATACCAGGAGTGCCTTTTTTTTATACATGGTGAGAGCTATAACATGCACAGTATCGAGTTCTGTGACGTAATAAACATAGGAAAATACCGCTCACTGGGGAATTTTGTTAACAATAAAATTAATATTAATTTGGATTTATTAAACTTGAAGCTGCACATTCGGGTAAGCATAGTTTCAGTACTTTATTATTTTCAATTTCATCACCCTTTATGTTGGGTCTCATCATCATTATTTTCACATTAAAAAGGTGTCCCATATCATGTATCGTGATTCCGTGATACCATCATTATGAATGATTTGATTATAATCATGTATTTATGATTGTTATGTACATAGACACAAATCTATGTACTGCGGTGGTATGTTTCAACTAGACAACACCCCCAAATCATTCAATTGAGAAAGACGATGCAAAATCTACACTTTGATATATTCATTTTGAATTCCTAATGAAGAGAATGTACGATGTATATGAAAGGCTGAAAGGGAGTGAAACAGCTAAAGACAAGAGAATCAACGGAGGGTGAGAGCGGGGGGGGGGGGGGTGGGCGGGGAGGGGGGAGGCTGAGAACTTGTCTATGACCCCCTCCCCCCTTTTTTAAAATCATCATTCCCGGGTTCCGTGCCGCCCCTCTCTATTTTTCATAATGACAAAAATTGTAAAGCATTCACAATAAGTTACCCCCTTGCCTACTTTCAAAGTATGCAACCTACATTCATATCTAACATAGATACGCTGTATATAACCTGCCTTTGTTTTCGTATACGAAACTTTATTATACATGTCTTGTATTTGTACACTTTTTCTAACCTGATAACTCGTATTTGTTGTTTGTTTATCGTTTGTAATTGGTTAAAATATTGTTTGTTTATTGTGTGTAATATTTGACAGCTCGTATGATTTTTTTTTTTAAATTGTTATTTTGTTTATTGTTTGAAATTTATTGAAATATTGTTTGATTATTCGTTTGTTTGTTTATTTGTTTGTTTATTGATTGTAATTTGTTAAAATGTTGTTATGAATATATAATTACGATAGCCAACCAACACTTTTCAGCATTCAGATTTTTATTTTATATCGTATCATTTTGTCAGGCCTACGTATGCAATATAGGCGAAGCTGTCTTCTACATCATTTTTCTGTATACGAAATAATATTATTTGAAATGTTATAGTATAGACATTTAATTCCATACGTCACAATATGGGATTATTTTGTATTTGAGTTGCGTGGTAAGTGGTTGTATATATTATTTAATATGTCCCTTTTTTATTTATTTTATATGAAGTAAGATCATTTGCATAGTATAAATATTTTATTCGATATCAGGTGGATGGAAAATAAATTTTAATAAAAACCTTTTGCTTTGACATATTTTTGTTGTATCTCCCTGATTTCGGTAGTACGGTTACACCACCCAACGGTTAAAGCAAAATTTTATTCCACTTTTCTCAATGAAAAAAAAGAAAGAAATCTCTGCATTTTGTATACACAGGACACAATTTAAAATTAAGAATGATTTACCGGATAAATTCAGTTGGTTTTCTGAATAATTGAAGGAAGATATTGAGCAAGCATCACATTATATGGATCGGTTCATAAATTATTTTTTCAATGGATTATCTGCGCTGATCTACGGCCACATTAATTTAAGATTAAGAGTCCTGGATGGATGGATGAATAGCAACAAATTAAATGATAATAAATAAATAAACATACAAGCAAATACACAAACAAACAAAAGCGATTAAAAAACAATTAACTCAGGCGCGGATCCAGGGGGGGGGGCCGAGCGGGCCTTGGCCACCCCCCCCCCCCCGCAAAAAAAAAAGGAGACAGAGAAAGGGAAAAGAAGGGAAAGGGAAAGAGGAGAGAAAGGGAAAAAGAAGACGAAGAAGAAAGGAAAAGAGGGATGAAGGAGATCGGGGAGGTGGGGCAAAAGGACTTTCCTCCCAGGCTGTTGCCTCCCCCCCCCCAATCAAAAAATAAAAATAGAAGGAAGGAAAGGGAAAGATAAAAGAAGAAGAGGAGATAAAGGGAAGGAAAAAAGAGGAAGAAGAAAACAGAAGAAGGGGGATATCAGTTGCAATTTTCCCGCCAACAGATTGTGGATCGGGGGGGGGAAGGCCCTTGCCTTAAAAGAGGAGAGCTAAAAGGGAACAAAAAAAGAGGAAGAAGAAAGAAAAAGTAGAAAAGAAAGGGAGATCAGTTGCGGTTAATCCCGCCAACAATGTGTGGAGCGGGGTGGGGCCAAAATGACCTTGCCCTCCTCCAGCAAACATAAAAGAGAAAGAAGGAGGGGAAGGGAAAGGAAAAGAGGAGAGAAAGGGAAAGAAAAAGAAAGAGAATGAAGAAAGGTAAGGGATATCAGTTGCAATTTTCCCGCCAACAAGGTGTAGATCGGGGGGGGGGGGCACTGGCGTTCTGATAGGGGAGGGGGGGGGGGCTTTGGGGAAATAAAATTCAAACGTGGTTTATTTCTAATTCCATAACGGTGATTTACAAATAATGCTGAAATGACATAATTTTAAGTATATTATACTTTTTTATGCGTTTGTTGGAAAATGACACATTCCTAAATTTACAGCCAGGCAAGGAAATGCTTCTTGAGATGCCTACATGTCAGGGCTCGCGGAACGGCGGGGAACGGGATCCTCGAACCGCCCACCCCCCCCCCCCCCCCCCCCCCACCACCCCCACTTTTTTGAAAAAGTATATTAAAGAGAAATAGACAGAAAGAGAGCAAGAAAGAAAAAAAATAGTTAACTGCCAGTGTCACATTATAATGAGGTATCAAAATATGCTCATCTGACCATGATTAAATGCCTAAAACCCCGAGGGCTCTGCCCCTGGATTTCACCTAGGGCCCTAAGGCGGGCCCTTAGATGCTCATCTGTTAGTAATTTAATGCCTAAAACCCCTGATTTCTGTGGGCTTTTCCGCCTGGACCCCACGCCAAATAGTTTCCTGCCAGTGTCACAAAATAATAAGGTATCAAAAAATGCTCATCTGACCGTAATTAAACACCTAAAACCCTTGAACTTCCGGGGGCTTTGCCCCCTGGACCCGACAAAGAGCCCTAAGGCGGGCCCCTTGATACTCATCTGACCGTAATTGAGTGCCTAAAACCCTTGGGCTTCCGGGGGCTCCGACCCCTGAACCCCACGCCAATTAGTAACCTGCCAGTGTCACAATTAGGTATCAAAATAATGCTTATCTGACCGTAATTAAATGTCTAAAACCCTGAACTTCGGGGGCTCTGCCCCTGGACCCCGCCGAGGGCCCTAAGGCGGACCCCTGAGTGCTAATCTGACCGTATATTATTGCCTTAAACCCCTGAGCTTCCGGGGCGGACAAGGTATCAACATATGTTCATCTGACCGCAGGCGCGTAGCCAGGGGGGCGGTGGGGTGGTCCCCCCAAAAAATGCCGGCCAAAAAAAGAGAGGAGTGAAAAGGAAAAGGGAGTAGACAAAGAACATTTTGAAACTCAGACAAGGATTAAGAGTCGAAAACGTTACAACGATTCGTCTTCTTTCTCTAATAATTTAATGAAACGTAAAATCTTCCGCGCTTCGCGCGAGAGGGGGGAACCTGAATTTAGACGAAGATTAAGAGTCGATAACGACACAATGAATAGTCTTCTTTCTCTAATGATTTAATGAAACGTAAAAGCTTCCGCGTGAGGGGGGGGGAACATAATTCAGATTATTTTTGGGAACGGTACAACGAATCGTCTCCTTTCTCTAATAATTTATTGAAATGTCAAAGCTTCCGCGCTTCGCGAAGGAGGGAGGGGGAAAACTCGTCCCTCCCTGCACCCACACCCCCCCCCCCCCCCCCAATTACATCACTGCTGGTCACCATTACGTACCCATATTTGGCTCGCATAATTTCAAATTTGGGCCCCCCTAAGAAATCCTGGATCCGCGCCTGGTCGGCCGTCTGGTTGCTTGCTTACAAGCATTTAGGCTTTTTTAGCAGTAAGGTAAAATAACCACCTAATAGCCATCAATGGCATGGGAGATAAAGTAATACCATATGGCACTTGTGTTTAAAGGAGAGTTGGTTTCTGTGGCCAAGAAAAGTTCTATCTATATGTAAATGAGACATAATGTGAAGGTATAGAAAATCCACATTTTTAATCACGAG